GGTCCGCCGTGTGGGTGGTCCCCAGCTCTCACGGCGATGTGAGCGAGAGCTCGGTCGCTTAGAGGGGTGGATGTATCGCCTGGAGGACCTGGCACAAGATGACGCTTCGGACGCGCCACCGCCCCTCTCGATGCGCTTCATGCTCGAGCACGAGGAGCGGGCGAAACGGATCCAGGCAAAGGAGGTCGAGCTCAAGCGTCTGCGCAAGCGGCACTAGGCGGTGTTGGCTAAGATGGACGCCTACACGGACGCCGCCTTCTTTGAAGACGCTGGGTCCCTTCGTGGCGAGGCAAGGCTACCAGGGCACTCCAACTCCTTCGCCAGGAGGAAGAAGATGGCGAGGCCGCTTTTGCCAGGCTGCAGCAGAAGCAAAAGGAGAGGGCGAAAGCCAAGCGTGCGGCGGATCTTGTGGCGGTTAAGGCCAAGATCTCTGCCTTCAGTCTGCTGAAGTTCCTCTAATGCCCATTTTGTTTAAGCGCCTCTTTCTCTCTTCTTTTTTTTGTAACTTGGTTGATGCCGGCTGCATCATAACTCAAAACTTTATGCATGTAATTTTGGCCCGTAATGGCCTTTTGTTTTGTTTATCCTCTGTCTTACATGCACAGTTTTTTTCTTTTCTATTTTCTGGTGTTGATATGTACTTGACCTGTGTTTTGTCTTCATGTTGGATTCGCCTGCGTTGTTTGGCGTTTGAGTTGAGCTACTCACGTTATCTCTAGCAACATGGTGAGTCTTCGACTAATCTGTTTTGGATTTAGTCGTTAGGTCCCTTTACTGCTCTGGGCTGTTCACGGTGTGGGGTCGGATTAACTCCGACTTTCACGTTACAGCCCGAGTGGAACCGCGAGGGTAATACTTAGGTCGAAACAAAGAGTAGTCGCTTGCGATCAACTGAAGAACCCATCTTTAACTTGCCATTTGGCGAGTTGTTGTTTGGGGGAACAGTGGAACATGTCGCCTGTCGAGCCGCCCTTGATAATTGTCGCTGTACGGGTGGGCGACGACACAGATGATAATCGAATCATTCAGGGATGTCGGAATGTGACGATCAATTGTTGTAGGAGCCGTCGCGTGGTAGGCTACTACCCATCGGTTATCCTAAGGGAATGCTTAGGGTATCCGGAATAGGTCAAGTAGTTCAGGGACGTAGGAGTGTGACTATTGACCGAAGTAATAACACGCCGCATGGTAGGTTATTACTTAGGCTGTGTTACTCGTAGGAATAACGGCGCCAATCATCAGAGGTGATCGTTAACCTGATGGGATTTTGTTGCGATCGGAGCAACTATGATGACTTATCATCCCATTGGGAGGGATTGATAAGTTGATTTGGTTAGAGGTGACGGTTAACATAACAAAATTGTCTATCACGATGTGAGCGACTTTGGTGGGCTCACCATCCCATTGGAGAGGATTAGTGAATTGATTTTGTCAGAGGTTTGGTGTTAACATGACAGTGGGGGTTTGTTGCGATTTGAGCAACTCTGTTGACCTACTATCCTATTGAAGAGGACTAATAAGTTAGTTTTGTCAGAGGTAACAATTAACATGACAGAACTAAGGAAGTTGGACCAATCAGCGACTTAGGTCACACCTTAAGAGCGCCGTTAGCAGTGTCTCATATAGGGTTTCCCGGCAAAGTATATGAAGTAGGAACAGTTTAGCCTCGTGTACCAGTTGGAGGGTAATGAGGGCCAGTTTAGACTCATGCATTCGTGGGAGTTTGAAGGAGAACTAAGGGTAGTACTTCTTCAAGTATTTGATATTGATGGGCATCATGATCTTGTCGCCGTTTGGCTTGATAAGGCGGTAGGCTTCATTCGAATAGACTGTCTCTACCACGAATGGTCCCTCCCATTTGGGTTGAAATTTGTCTTTCTTCTTGGAGGTGAGAATCATTGGTCTGCGGACAGTTAGCACCAATTCTCCCTCCTTGAAGGAGCGATGTTTGACTTTCTTGTCGAAAGCCTTGGCCATTCGGGCTTGATAGAACTCAATGTATTACTGAGCTTCCAGTCGTCTTTCATCCAACGCTTCGAGTTCTGCAAGGCGTTGTTGATGATTATCCTCAGTCATCATTCCCGTTGCCAGGGCAACGCGGAGGGACGGAATTTGAATCTCTAATGGTAACACGGCCTCACAGCCATACACCAATGAGTAAGGGGTGTTACCAGTCGGTGTGTGAACTGTTGTGCGATATGCCCATAAACTCTCACCCAGCTTTTCATTCCAATCGCACTTGCTATGGGAAACTAGCTTGGTCAAGATTTTAACAATTGTTTTGTTGAAGGCCTCGGCCAAGCCGTTCGCCGAAGGGTTATAGTCTGTGGAGGAGAGGTTCTGTATTCGGAATTTGTCACAAAACCTGGTGAATGCATGACTAATGAACTGTGTGCCATTGTCATGGATGATACGCCGAGGTACGCCGTATCGATATATGACATAGTGTTTGATGAACTTGATCACATCATTGGTCTTGACTTCTCTTAAGGGGACGATGAAGTAGGAACAGTTTAGCCTCGTGTACCAGTTGGAGGGTAATGAGGGCCAGTTTAGACTCATGCATTCGTGGGAGTTTGAAGGAGAACTAAGGGTAGTACTTCTTCAAGTATTTGATATTGATGGGCATCATGATCTTGTCGCCGTTTGGCTTGATAAGGCGGTAGGCTTCATTCGAATAGACTGTCTCTACCACGAATGGTCCCTCCCATTTGGGTTGAAATTTGTCTTTCTTCTTGGAGGTGAGAATCATTGGTCTGCGGACAGTTAGCACCAATTCTCCCTCCTTGAAGGAGCGATGTTTGACTTTCTTGTCGAAAGCCTTGGCCATTCGGGCTTGATAGAACTCAATGTATTACTGAGCTTCCAGTCGTCTTTCATCCAACGCTTCGAGTTCTGCAAGGCGTTGTTGATGATTATCCTCAGTCATCATTCCCGTTGCCAGGGCAACGCGGAGGGACGGAATTTGAATCTCTAATGGTAACACGGCCTCACAGCCATACACCAATGAGTAAGGGGTGTTACCAGTCGGTGTGTGAACTGTTGTGCGATATGCCCATAAACTCTCACCCAGCTTTTCATTCCAATCGCACTTGCTATGGGAAACTAGCTTGGTCAAGATTTTAACAATTGTTTTGTTGAAGGCCTCGGCCAAGCCGTTCGCCGAAGGGTTATAGTCTGTGGAGGAGAGGTTCTGTATTCGGAATTTGTCACAAAACCTGGTGAATGCATGACTAATGAACTGTGTGCTATTGTCATGGATGATATGCCGAGGTACGCCGTATCGGTATATGACATAGTGTTTGATGAACTTGATCACATCATTGGTCTTGACTTCTCTTAAGGGGACGACTTCGGCCCACTTAGAGAAGTAATCGGTGATCGCGAGGATGAAGCGGTGGCCTTTCATTGACGGCGGGGATATTGGCCCAACTATGTCCATCCCCCATACTTCGAAGGGCCATGACGCCTTTGTCGGGTGTAGGTCTTCGGGAGGTTGATGCATGTAATTGGCATGGATTTGGCACACGTGGCAACGCCTTGCGTAGGTGACTGCGTCGCTGACCATCCCAGGCCAAAAGTAGCCTATCCTTCGCAAGTGATCCCAAAGTTTGGGTCCAGGCTGGTGAGCCCCGCAAGTGCCATCATGGGCTTCGCGTAGGGCCTCCTGTGCTTCTGCCTTTGAAATACATCAAAGTAACAAGCCGTCGTATGACCTCCGATATAACGTCTTGGTGGTCGAATCGTAGTAGAACCTCAAGGCACGTTGTCGGATGGACTCGCGCTCTCTTGCATCTTAGGGTAACATGTCGTATAGGACGTAATCGATAATCGGGAGATGCCAGTCTTTCAGGTCAGGCTGATCCGAGATTTGATGGGTGGCGTTCACTTCCGGCATATCTTTTAGTCGAAAGAGCCTTCGGCTCGCCACCGTGACCCATTGAGTCGTTCCTAATGGCTGCGCCAAGTTAGCCGCCAAGGATGCGAGGGCGTCCGCATGCGTGTTCTTGGAACGGAGCACGTGCTCGATGCAGAAACTTTCGAATGACTCCACTAGCTTGATAGCCACTTTGTGAAGCGGGATCAGGTCATCGTTTCTAACTTCGTACTCGCCGGTCATCTGCTTGACGATGAGTTGAGAGTCGCCGTAAGCCTCTAGACATTTTATTCCTAATTCTTTTGCTAACTCAAGTCCGGTGAGTAGCGCATTGTACTCAGCCACGTTGTTGGTGCATAGCTCTGTTAGAGAAAAGGCTCGGGGCAACACGTGGTTATGCGGAGAAATGAGGACCACCCCCACTCCTGCAATAATAGAACCACTCGTGCCTACCCAAGACGCGCCATCGAAGAACATTTGCCAAATCTCTGGTGACGAAGTCAGGTTGACTTCGGGGAGTTCATCAGGAAAATCTTCAAATAAATTGGTCTTCGCCCTCAGCGGGTGACTAGCCATAAGATCGCAGATGGCCTGTCCTTTAACTGACTTTTGTGGCATGAAATGGATATCATACTGAGACAGTAGGAGTGCCCATCTAGCCAAACGCCAATTTAACGTCATGGGCTATGTCATGAATACTCGGATGGGGTTCATCCGGGAGATGACATGGATTGTCTGACCGACCAGGTAGTGCCACATCTTTTGAACGGCGAATACTAAGGCCAAACACTCCTTCTCGACCATCGGGTACCGCTGTTCGGTGCCTTGTAAGGTCCTACTTAGGTAATAGATGCCTTGCTCGTGGCCAGTGTCGTCATTTTGCGCCAGGAGGGCGCCTAGAGAATGATCCATAGCCCGTACATAGATGAGGAATGGCTTTCCCGATATTAGAGCCGCAAGGATAGGCGGGTTTGAGAGATAAGCTTTGATTTCCTCAAATACCCGTTGACAAGGCTCGTCCCACACGAAGGAAGTACCTTTCTTCATCAGTTTGGAGAAGGGTTAACATTTGCCCGAAAGATTTGAGATGAACCTTCAGATGTAGGCCAATCGCCCCTGAAGACCCCTTAGTTCTTTGAGGTTTCAGGGTGGTTGAAGCTCTTGAATGGCTCGTACCTTGTCTGGGTCAATCTGGATTCCTTTCGTCGTGACGACGAAACCAAGGAATTTGCCACTAGACATCCCTAGGAATGATTTCGTAGGATTCATCTTGAGTTGATGGGTCCTCATGAGTTCGAACATCGCCCTCAAGTCTTGGAGGTGGTCACCTTTGCAGCGACTCTTCACGACCAAGTCGTCCACATAGCATTCGACCGTCTTTCATAGGTAATCCCGAAAGATCGTACTCATGGCGCGTTGATAGGTGGCGACGGCATTTTTGAGTCCGAAGGGCATGACTATGTAGCAGTATAACCCCATGGGAGTCCTGAATGAAGTGTGTTTTTCGTCTTCAGGGTGCATTTTGATTTGATTATACCCTGAGAAACCATCCATGAAGGACATCCTCTCGAACCCACACGTGTTATCAATGATGACATCCGTGATGGGCAAAGGGAACTCGTCCTTAGGGCATGCGGCGTTGAGATCCCTAAAGTCAATGCAGATGCGGATCTTACCGTTTTTCTTTAAGACTGGAACAATATTAGCTACCCAGTCGGGGTATTGTTCCTCTCTGATAAAGCCGGATTCGATCAGCTTCTTCACTTCGGCCTCGATTGCCTCCATGATTTGCGGATGAAATCACCTTTGCTGTTGCATGACTGGTTTGGCGTCTGGGCCGATGTTGAGGCGATGCATAGCGACCCGCAGGTCAAGGCCGGGCATGTCCTCGTAGTTCCATGTGAAGACGTCGATGTACTCCCGCATGAGGGCAATGAGATCTTCTTTTTCCTGAGGTGGTAGGCTGCCGTTGATGAATATGGGTTTGGGGTTTGCCTCATCACCCATGTTCACCTGGAGGATTTCATCTTCGGTCGGTGGTTCACGTTGCTCGAAGCGGTTGTTCCACTGAGCGTTAACGTGGCGATCCCATGTCTCGTCGTAAAGTAGGACTTGTTCGTCCTCAGCCATTTCGGCGGGATCGACTGCAGCCATGTTGACCGTAAGGTTGTCGAAAAGGTCTCTTACGCTAACATCGGAGTCCCATGCTGAGGTTGTCGACGATTGGTCCCCCGAACACGCATAATCGGAATCCTCATTGACATAACAGAATAGATCCAATGAGGAAGAGGAGTAGCCCAAACCTCTCTGAGTCTTGTTGAAGTAATTTGAGGGTTTGCATTTAGGTATGTAAGCGGGTTGAATGACCGTCTTGCGCCCTCGGCCATAATTCAGGCCTTCTAAACGAGTGAAGTCATACCCCATGTCGCTCATTATGCGCTTTGCGACTTAACTGTATTGTGAAAACTGAGGCGCGGGGTCCTCGTCTTCGGATTCGTCCCACAGCGTGCGCAAGGGGCTGTCAATACGCCCAAAGATAATGTCTTCTTGATAGCTATTCCGGGCTGGCACGACAAGTAAAGCTTGCGACACCTTGATCGGCTGGGCCTTCGCAACATATGATGAGCATACGGGCAAGTGTAGGGAGGGATCGCTATGGAGTTTTGACACTAAGTTCTTAGGTGCATCATCCTCGGATGTGGAACAAGACGACAAATAAGCAAAGTCGGACTTCTCATTCATGATAATCTCCTCTGCCTGAACAACGTTGGTTACATTGTGACTCTCGTAACCGATTATAATTGACTCAAAGTCGTTCAAGATTAGGACATCGCCGTACTCAGGTTCGCTGTCTGCCTTGTTGCCGCTCTCCAGTTCTTCAACCGGTGGTTCGTTGGGGTCTTGGTACAGCAGAGAGTCTGTGAAGTAGTTCTCGACACCCTTGAAGGGTTGTTTGTCGGCCACTATCATCTTCACTTGCTCGTAATCATCCACATACATCAAGCATTGGTGTAACGTGGATGGGACTATTCGGTTGCCATGGATCCACGGACGTCCCAAGAGCATGTTATAGGATGGTTTAGCGTCGATAACATAGCAGGTCACCTCAGTCTTCATATCGCCTATTCGACATTTCAGGCGGATCTTGCCAAGAGGCCGAGTCCCTGTGGCGTTAAAACCAAAGATAGTCATGGTAGTCGTGGACAGATGCTTTGGCGGTATCCCTAGGTGTTTGATCAATTCCAGGGGGACAATGCTCAATGCAGAGCCTGAGTCGACCTGAATTCTATCCACTTTCGACGAGCCGATGTACCCTGTGAAGTACAAGGGTCGGTCATGAGACGTGCTCTTGATGAGCATGTCCTCAGGAGTGAAAGTGATGCACGGGACCCGTCTTTCGAAGGTTTGACAACATGTCGCGCATTCCTGTTCTGTATCCTCTTCCCTTGAGAAGTGGGTGGAGAAGGCCTCTGAGTCGGCCAACGCCTCTTGTAGGGCTTCCCGGGTAGGCCTAGATAGCCGTAGGAGGTCATACATGGTAATGCGCGCGGGGATGCTCCTCAGCTGCACGAGTACATTGAATCAGAAAGGTTGACGGCTTGAGCTGGGCTTATCTAGCTCTGGAGGGGCAGTCGTGGTTGGCCTCATGGGAGGTCCTGCCGGGTTTTCCGCCCTCGTGGGATGCTCTTTCGCGAATTCCTTCCATGCTCTTGTGGCGAGAACATTGGTTTCCTCTTCAGAGTCAGTGGGGGTGGCCATTATTGTTTTATCTCCACCCAGGATAGCGGTGACGACGTTGCAAGGTTTTCCCTTAGCCTTTTTTAAGGGCTTTGTAGTCCATTGCTCGTCATTGAGGAGGTCCGGATGGACCCACATCACCTGACCTGAGGGCAAAATCTGCGGTACTAACCCTTTTCCTCTTTGATTGTGAGGATCGTCATTAGTGACCTTCAGGATTGCCTTAGGGATAGGGATTATCCCTGCTGGAGCTTGAACCTCCGGGAGACCCGTCCCAAAGCTCAAGGTGACCATGTTCGTGGTCACTTGCTTTTGAACCTTCTCCTTCTTTAGGACTCCTGCATCGTAGAGGGCTTGAAGCTTATCCTTGAGGATGTAACACTTAGACGTGTGGTGGCCAAGGAATCTGTGATAGGAACAATAACTCGAATCACTGGTTTTGTTCGCCTCCTCAGGCTTCGCGGCTTCTGGCAATTTAATTCGACCGCTCTTGAGCAGAGTATCGAATGTCGCCACCACCTAATCTTCTTTGAAGTCGTATTGCCGCGGGGGCGTTGCTCGAATTGTCTAGGCTTCGGCCTTTGAGCAGTTTTTTGCGCCGGGGTGGAGTCGACGGCCATGATCTCTTTTCCTCTTGTTTGAGGGGGATTCTTTGCCACGACCGGTTCCGCGGCTCCCTTCTTAGTATGCGGTTCTTCGGCTTCCAACCTCTTGATCATATTTTCCACCTGCTCGCCTTGATGAACAAGTTCTTTCCAGGTCCGGGTTTCCACCGCGCCAACCTTGGATAGAATATGGATCGAGAGATTATTGCGGCACATCTCGATCAGTGTTGATTTGGAAACTTGATCCCGACAGTGGACCGATCGGTTCCTGAACCTCTTCACAAAGTCGTTGACCGATTCCGACTTCCGTTGCTTTTTAGCGAGGAGGGTGGCCATCAACACCTCTGTGTCGTCGTCGAAGAAGCGGGCCAAGAAGAGTCTTTCAGCATCGGCCCATGACTTGATAGAGCCAGGTTCTAACTTGCGGAACCATTCAAAGGCCACCCCCTTGAGGGTGCCTATGAATAACTGGGTGAGAATAGCGTCGTTCCCCGTAAGGAACCCGGTCTGCGCCATGAAGTAATAAATGTGTTGTGAGGGTGAGCCCTTGCCATCGAATTACACCAAGCTAATAGGCTTGAACTTCGCCGGGTAGGGGACTGTATTCCACTCGACATGATAGGGGCGGACCACCCCCAGCTTATTCATGTTCTGCTGAAGCTTTAGCACGTTGAGCTGATTTTGGAACTCGTCGAACCTCTTGTCACGAGCGCTACCCCCAGTATGCGATGTTCCTAGCGATGTCTTGGAAGAGAAATCAGATGGTGGATCGATATTATCTTCCGTTTCGACCGCTGATTGATGGGGAGGTACCCACTCCTTATCCCCTGTTAGCCGGGGTAAGGTGCGTTGGGTTCTTTTCTTCTTGTTTTTTTTGTTCAGAAGCTGCTCCAACATCTCTCTCAAAGAGTCAATGGTTGCCTGTTGTTCTTCGAGCTTTTGGGTCACCACCTGTTCATGGGTTAGTTCAGCCATGTGTACCATTGCCAGTGCGTCCTGACTTGAGTGCGATGTCTGGGACGTAGCTGCTGCTGAGTGAACCTCGTTCTCACCGTCGGAGGGAGGCGTTAAGGTTGAATAATCAAACCCAATGCTCACCCCCGTGCGACTATGAGTGCGTCGGTATATACCGTCTCGCTCACGTTGGGCGAGCGGTGGATTAGGTTCCAGGAAAGAGTCTGAATTGTGAGAACTAGAAAAGATGGACTTGCCCTTATCTGTCATGTTGATTGTAGCGGATGAGAGTTCTCGATCTTCGGCGGCGCGTCCTTTTTGGTGACGACGCCTTTGACGAGAGGGTCTCGGTCGGGAAGGCTGTCGAGAGAGTCTCTCGAACGC